GACTGGCAAATCTTCTCAAGATTCTCAGATTCTTATCAATTCAGAAGGAAGGTTATCTGATCATATCACCCATCTTAATAGATATTATGGTTGTGTTTCATTCCAGGCCATTACCAAGAGTTGCAGTTATCTCTAAATATTGCTCCTTCTCCATGATGTTGCTCATCTTTGAAGCAACCTGCCAACAAAATTTTAAAAAGAGACAGTAATTTGCTTGCTATCAGGAAGGTAATTGATACTTGAAAGGCAGCGAATGACATTTCTCCTCTATTTCATGCCAAATACAATGTTTAATTTTCTTTATTGGTAAATATAATCAATAAATGAGTCATTCCCATATAGGTCCAGAAAGAATTCCAGAATGTATTCTCACAGTGGTCCTTGTAAATAAACTTCTTTTAAATAAAGCATGCATGCATTTTTAGATATCTGTAAGCCAGAATGCTGTAGTGGTTTACTGTACATACTCATGTTTAAGTCTAGAAATTTTAGTCAAAAGGAAGACCCCAAAAACCTGAGTCAACTTATTCATCGGTCAATGTAAGTACTGTACTTTAACTTTTCTTTTCTTTTTCCCTTTTTAAAAAGGGAACCATCTCCTGGTGAAAGGCAAGAGTATAATCTGTCCTAGAAGCACTGACCTCTCTCTGCATTCTCATTCATCTAGCTTTTAGGATGAGCACAAACAGTTATGCCTGCTGGAATTTTTAAGTTCGTTGGCATTGTTTTCCTTTGTTTCATCCTTTGCTACATGCCCCTATCAATCCAAATCAAGCCTCTGAAGGAAGGGCATTCCACCATGGAGGGACACAACAGAGAAGGCCCACTTCCCATCCTCACACGATATAATACTCCCACCAGTGGGACACAGAGAAGATCTCTCCAGTGGACCTCAGGCAGGCATAAACGGGAAGAGGTGGTCCTTGAAATGTGAAAGTTCTCAGCAGCATCTTGAACTTGGACCAAAAGCAAGTGCCATTAAATGTGGTGATATCTGGTTTGTCCAAGTTGAACAATCTATGTTAAATTTTGCACTAACTGCAGATTCCAAATCATTTTCAAAGGCAGCCCACCTAGAGGGCATTATAGCACTTTAATCAGCATGTGAACTAATCAAAGAGCTACTTTTTTATTCAGGAAACATATTTAGGGGTAGCTGTGTTGTCCATATAGCAAAGAGCAAAAACATCCAAAATCCACAAAACAATGATACCTTTACTTGGTCAACCAAAATTCACAAAATACATACATTTTTTGCATTTTGATTGGCCAAATAAAGTTATCACCACACTGTCCTTTGAGGAACAGGTCAACCTGCTACACTGGTCTCTCATCTGTTCAGAACTTTGGTGTGGAAAACATTTACTTCTCTCATTACTCAGATTACCCTTCTTTAAATTCTTGCACCAGCTTTTCATCTGCTCCCAAATCCAAATCGTCCATGATCTTGTCCCTTTCTATCACCTTACTGTTACATCCTGGTATATCCCTACTTATGACCTTTGCTTCACCAGCTCCACCCTTCTTCACTGTTTGAAGACCTCCTGCTCCTTGCAAAACCTCTTCTTTGCTGCCTATAGGGAACTGCCTCCCAGAACAGAGGTAATGCCATCTCTCTTACTTCCATCAGATCAACAATCTTTTTCTGTCTGATGCCCTGCCTGCAACTAATAAGACTAAAAGCACACAACTGAATGAACCACAGATCGCATCCTTCATTACTCCTGCCTTCACTCACTCCCCTTGCTTTGCTACTTCCGAACAATATTATCCTCCTCCCATTCCCCATTTAATGGCATATTAACTATTTTAAAAATGAATTTATTTTATTCATTGTCTGCAAAGTTATTAATGAAAGAATGCACATATCTTTTGCCATTGGAAATATACTCCTGTCATTGGAAAGAAATTTGGAACATGTCACCTCCCACAGTCCTCCTTGCTTTCTTTTCACCAGCAGATAAACAGTTCTGGCTATTAACAGGCTGTTCCAGAAAGATCTTTTAATGCAGATAAGATGGTGAATTTTTATTCTTAATCTTATATTATGTTTTATTATGTTTTAATTTGACTGAAGTGTGTTGAATTGGTGCTGCTTTAACAGGATTTATTTATTTATTTATTGTTTATAAAACTTTTAACTCTGAAATGATGATTATAATAAAAAGTTGTATAAACAATAAAAATATCCTATTAAAGCAACACTAATTCAAAACCATTTGCATTTTTGGATGTCATTTTTAGCTGTTGTGATGGTGAGACTCACCCACCCAACTACTTTTCTCCCACCGCTGCCACCAATTATGTGATGATGCCACTAATTCTTCACTGTGAGACTCGAACTCTGGGCTCTTTTAAGTGTCTACTGCAGTATAACTCTCTTTAGATACCAGTGCTCTGGGTTTGATTTTTTTCCTCAGTTTGGCACCCACTATTCTTTGACAGCCACTATTCTTTGACAGCTTCCACTTTTACATTGTTCCATTCGTTTTGAATATCGCAATTCACAATGAATGATTGAAGACTAATACTTTTTTCAGTGTAAAAATTTCCCCCCACATGTAAATAAACTGATAAGAAGAAAGTTACTCCTTTGGGACCTTGAATGCAGTCTTCATGTGAATGGCAGCCAGCCAACCAGACAAGGGAAGCAGTGGGTGCATCTGCACTCCAGAATTAGAACACATTTGATCCCACTTAAACTGCCATGGCACCATTCTATGGAATTGTGGGGTCTGTAATTTACTCTTCAAGAGTGGGTTATCATTTTGTTGCAAGCCTTCAAGACATTTTTGACTTATTTTTTTATTCTTATTTTTTTATTTAAATTTTATTGATTAAAAACAAAAAGAGAAAAAAAACAATAACATAGAGTAAACAAAAATGAAAGAAACGCAAATAACATACAAAATGCAAACAACATGCAAACAGACATACAAAACTAAACCAAATTAAAAACAACTTCCTTGCTAGACATGGCTTGTTCTTTAGCCCATGTAAAGTAAGACATTTCTGACTTATGATGACCCTAAGACTATAACTAGGATCTGTGGGGATGATAGTGTGTGACCCAGCCAAGATCACCCAGTGGGTTTCCATGGCCAAGCAGGGAATTGAACCCTGATCTCCAGAGTCGATTGATCAATTGCTTTATTTATATCCCACCTTTCTCCAGGCTTGGACTTGGACTCAAGGTGGCTAGAAGTCCAATGCTCAAACCACTCACTACAAGACACTGACTCTCTGAATTATCACTACTTCTCAGCAAACCTACCTCATGGGGTTGTTGGAAGGTAGAAGGCAGCAGAAAGAAAGGAAGATGGATAGACTCAATGAGGAAGCTCACGGGGATGAATTTTCATGACCTAAGCAGAGCAGTGGAGGATAAGGAGTCTTGGAAACGACTCAACCACAGGGTCACCATGAGTCATGGTTGACTCAAGGGCAGTTAACAACAACAGGTATTGTGTAAAGCAGGGGCCAGCTTACTGGCCCAGACCGACCCCTGCCACCACCGCTGCCACGCGCCGCCACCACCACTACGTGTTTTGTCCTCTGTGTGGCCACGTGTGCCGCGGCTGCCATTTTGATTTCCAAAATGGCAGCCACAACGCGTTTGTGCATGTGCAGGAGTACTGCACATGCGCAGACGAGTTGCGGCCACCATTTTTTTCTTCAAAATGGCGACCACGACTCATTTGCATATGCACAGTACTCCTGTGCATGCGCAAACACATCGCGGCTGGCATTTTGGAAATCAAAATGGCGGCT